CGCATGGGCAAGCTTCTTCCACATTTTTCTGTCGATTTGTCGGAATATTATCATGACGAGTCTCAAATCACACGTCGGCGAGTTAACGGCTAAGTGGACGGCTGTTTCACCACCTTTCACGTCCTAAAGGAAGAAAATCATTAAAACTGATTAAAGTACAGTCAGGGCTATTCGCGGTGTTCCACTTATAAAAATTGCCTTATTCCTTGCAAAGAAACAAACTTCTTACAAAATCAACAATTATGCGGCTGTTAGTTGCGCAAACAGGGTAATATATAGATAAGCCGTTATTCACTGACCAGATTTTACATAAACTAAAACTTTTTTTATAAAGCTTTGTTAGTTGTCCTTTTACATTGGCCTCTCTTAGATTTTTCTACACTTCCCTTTCCCAGGTTAATTTTCTCCACGAAATGACGGGTTAATATTAAAAAAACAATTATTTGTAGACACATTTAAAGCTGCAGTTATTGTTTTCAAGCCTCAATGCTTACGAAACATTCAAACGTAATTTTTGAAGTGTAATACCGACAAATGCCCTGATAGTTCATTAAATATATGTTATTTTTAACATAATAATAGTTTTTATTTGAAATCGATATAAATAAAAACATTATAAGTTTATTAAAGACAATAGAAATAGACAACTTCGGTGGCTCTGTGGTTAAGCAGTTGACTCTGCATGTCCTGGGTTCGAATCCCGTCATGTACCAACGTGTTATTACATTATATAAATATATCGTATTTTGTTAAGATGATGGAAAACATCGTGATGCTGCACATATCTGAGAAAGTCAAATGTGTGAAGTCTTGCACTGGACCAGCATTCACTATCACATAGTCTCACTTAGGGTAGATGAGACCCTCAGTGGTGAACAAATACTAACCCCTTTCCATAAATTAGCCTCGCCATGTTGTAAGAGCACATGAGTTATATTTAATTTAGATGATTCTGTGCTGTGAAGACTGCAAGCAACATGTAAAGCTGTGTAACCTAAAAAAATAATATCAAAATTTAATATTGGATGGATGAATGTTATAAAATAACTCCAAAACGGCAGGATCTACGAAAAGACATATTAGTTATAACTAGCTGTTAAAAACAAACGTAATAAGTTAACAGTGGTAGAGCTCGCTTTAACATGTTCGCAGGAATTGTCCTCGCTCAGTGAAATACCACGACCACACAGAAGACACGCCTCAAGTGGAAGTAATTCCAACTAGTCTGATGAGTGTGCGTCCCGGTGGCCTAATTTAGTCCTCTTTCCCTTCCCACACTTTTTCTTATAAGGAAAGGATGGTAATTGGAAATGGACTTTCCGTATGAGAGGATGCATGGGAAGGTAAAATATTTTCTTTCTGTGCATCCTCTCCTCCGTCGATTAAAGGTAGGCAACGCATATGCAATTGCGTATGTCTATGGGCAATCGCTTCGCTATTTCAGTGATTTCGGGTGGCCGCTCGATCGTTTGCCAACTTATTATATAAAAAAGTAGCCTATATGTTCTTCCAGACTATGTTCTATGTTATTACAGCGAGATCTATGCAGCCGTTCTGGAGATATCTTCTAACATACATCTAAACATTCGCATTTATAATATTAGTAAAATTAATATAATCCATACCATCAGTATTAATATGGTGAACATCGAACAGAGGTAATTCATCTTTCTCTTTCATCACCAACTCATAAAGTACATCAGCACAAACATCACCAGCTCTAACACAAGCTATAAGTAAATTATCACCTAATGCATCCACCTGAAAAAACAAGACGGTTAACAATCATCGTGGGTTTCCGAGACCAAACACAAGTAGTTGGTGTAACGATTTAATTAGCGGCAAATACAGGAGCGTCTTTGGCTCAGGGGTCAAGCACTTGACTTGCAATCTGCAGGTCCTGGGTTCGAATCCCGCCATGTACCAATGTGTTTTTCATTTTCGATTTACATATGTACATTTACGTAATTACAAAAAACTAATTTCCACACCTCCAGAGGCACAGACCTAAATATATTGTTAGATCATTATTTTTTTTTGTTTTCTTTCCTTGGTTTGTTCATATAATTTTTTTTTTGTGTTTTATACTTGTTGAACGCTATGTCAATTAAGTTTACATTATTATATCAATAGATGGCGGAACATATTGTTTAGATCACGATATAGATTTATTTGGTATGTTTATCGACTTGCCGATCGCATTTAAATAAAGTTGACTCGCACCAAGATATAATCAGTGTTTCATTGTGACTACTCGATACTTCTCCAGTGAGAGTGAGACCTTTTTGAGACTGCTTTACAATACTTGTTTGTTTTGTATGAATCTTGTATAGCTGTTATTGGATAAATTATCAGTTTTATTGTATATTGTATTACTTTGGTCAATGTTGCATAATTTATCTGTTGTGTGTACTTGTCTAATAAATAAATACATTTATGACGTTACAATGAAGAAGATTGTGATGATGCACATATCTGAGAAAGTCAAATGTGTGAAGTCTTGCACTGGACCAGCATTCACTATCACATACTATCACTTAGGGTAGACTCTACCCTCAGTGGGGATAGTGAGCTGATGATGAACTTAAGGGGGTTAAAATAATATATTGATTCTTACCTCGTGGAATAAGTATTCAGTACCAGGTGGAGGTGAGTTATATTTGAGTGCGGTACGTACACATTGTACCAGATATCTGGTCAATATGGGACGCTTGTAGCAACGTAAAGCTGACGACTTGATGAGGCTTAGACCTGGAAAATTTGACAAACGTTTATGAGCTGATTTATAGACATTATTAATTAGAATCATTTGACGCAAGCGCGCTTTCGCAACAAAATCAAATGTCAGATGTAGTGAGGGGACATAAACGTTGATAATATAATAAGGCTAGTGTTGCGATACACCGGCATAGTGTCGGATTTTCTTCCTAACAGTTGCTATCAAAAACAACTTAATTAGTATCCTATGTGTTCTACCAGACTATGTTCTATATGTATGACAAATTTCAGCGAGATCCATGGATCCGTTCTGGAAATAACCTCTAACAAACATACATCTAAACATTGGCATTTATAATATTTTAACTTTAAAATGTTAACCCCCCATCCATCAACCATCGAGTAACACATCACATTTCCACCCCTTTAGTGTTTTATTTACAACTATTATAAAAAATCAAGTTAATCTTCGGAACCCCCTAACAATTATAACGACCAGAAGGTCACAAACTTTGAGAACTTACCAAAATCACTGAGGAACAGGTCAGACTTCTGCGCCATAACTCTTTCACAAGTGAGACTGAAAAGGGACATCTGGAGGTCTTCTTCTTTGTCACCAGAGGAGAGACTCAGCAGGATATGATGGAGTACCCTGGAAACGATAATACATCTTTTTACTTAAACGTCGTTATGGGCGTAAACTTCCCTATAAGCTAGACATAGTTAACTCAATTAAAACTGATGATTTGAAGCTCACGGTTCACAAGCATGAAGCAGATCAGTTAACCGGATCACAGATTACCACAATGTGTTTTTTTTTTCTTAAAATTTTATGTTGGTTTATAAGTGCGACGCCTACAATAAAGTGGTTTGGCCACGCACTTATGTACATACTAGCTGTCGACAGCGATTCTATCCGCGCGGAATTAAAGTAATAAGTAGCCTATGTGTTCTTCCAGACTATGTTCTATATGTAAGTCAAATTCCAGCGAGATCCATGCAGCCGTTCTTGACATATCTTCAAATAAAAATCCATCCATCCATCTAAACATTCGCATTTACAATATTAGTAAGATATTATTGCCAACGTGTTTAAAAATAAAATAAAAAACATAGAGTAATGATTTGCGTTGCGAGCTACGATCTGCGAGTCAGTTGGGAACTCATCGGCCTAAATAGTTATAGTATATCGCAATGACCTACTCAATTTAGTTGTTGAACCTCAGATCAACGGTTCGAAATGATCTTTTGAATCGATTCAGCGGAGTTAGACATTCCATAGCGAACTTCAAAAATGTATGTAACTGAGGCGCGACAATCACGTGACTTATCCAAAGTTATTGTCAGTTCTATACATTATAGAAGTTCGTTATAGAATCATTTCGGAGCTAAGCGAACATACCCATACGTGACCTATTTTTTTAGTTTTTTCGACCCCTCCCACCCCTCGGTGACCACTCGTAGTACATGCCAAGACCCTTTAGTTTTTACGTAGTAATTCATAATTATGATTTTTAATCATTTCATAGACAAAAATTGAAAAAAAAAGGCTCATGCTCTTCTTTATAGCATAAGACATGCATACTTAAATTACTTGTGAATTATGTATTACGAAAAAATAAACAACTAACGACTACGTGACTAAAATCTGAGCCCCCCCCCCGCTCCTGTGTCTGACCGTAGTATTTTAAAGACCCCCTCCTAAACGGGTCACGTAGTATGGGTACGTTCTCTAATATACTTTGTCTAACTCCACGAAATTTAACTGGCTACTAATTGCACATTTCAATTATTGTTATTGACTACAAATAAAATGAATGATACTTTACATGCGTGTTATCAAAGCAATTAACTTTATTAGTTTGTAGTAGGTCAATTATAATGGAACCGTGTTGTTAAATACTGTCGCACGCGACTCTGTCCCCGTGGCGTTAAAAAAAAAACTTAGTAGCCTATGTATTCTTCCAGACTATGTTCTACATCTGTGTCAAATTTCATCGAGATCAATGCAACCGTTCTGGATATACCTTCAAAGAAACATCCATATAAACCAGTGGTTCCCAAACTTATTTTGTCTACTGCCCACTTTGAGATTTTTTAGCGCCCTCATATTTTCACATATTTAAAAAACAACTATAACTTCAAATTAAATTAATTAATTATTGTGACCTATATATTACTACTAGCGGACCCGACAGACGTTGTCCGGTCTACACGTCTTTAATTTGAATATTATTTAAAATTTGACACTGCGATGGTAGCGCCGTCTGTCGGATCCAATGTAAAACATTCTAAAATCAACAACTACTAATAAATTAAAAAAACATTGTCCAGCGGACAAAATTGTGAATCTAAACCATTCCCAGATCCCCTTGAACACACACAAAAAATTTCATCAAAATCGGTCCAGTCGTTTGAGAGAAGTTCAGTGACATACACACTCACAGACGAATTATATATATAAAAGATTAACGGAGAATTCTAAACGAAACGTTTTACTATAACCCGCAAATTGAGACCTGCAGCGCCCACAAGGGGGCGTTATCGCACACTTTGGAAAAGACAGGTCTAAACATTCGCATTTATGTTATTAGTAAGATTAATCTAATAAGCGCTTTTTCAGTGAAATAAATTTGTAAACATGTTTTTACTTATGTATCTCGTTTTGGCGCGAAACGTATACAATGCACGTACAAAATGGCGGTATAAATAACATCAATGTACCGAAATAGAACAACACTGACGTATTTGTACTGCCATAAATTGAGTTGTAAACGGATAACCATATTTACGAATATCAACGGACATTCCCGTCGAAATCTTACTAATCTATGCATTTATATTTTTCATCATCATCATCAGCTCACTATACGTCCTCACCGAGGGACTCGGAGCCTACCCTAAGTTAAGGGTGATTAGGCCATAGTCAACCACGCTGGTCAAGTGCGGGTTGGTTGACTTCACACATATCTTTGAATTACTTCTCAGATATGTGCAGGTTGCATCACGATGTTTTCCTTCACCGTAAGAACGTCGGATAAATGTACATATGTAAATCGGAAATGGAAAAACACATTGGTACATGGCGGGATTCGAACCCAGGACCTGCAGATTGCAAGTCAAGTGCTTGACCACTGAGCCACCGACGGTCTATACTTTTAGATATTATTAATTAGAATCATTTGGCGTGAATAGCAGCCGCAGACGCGGGCGACCGCTAGTTCAGTCATAAAATAGATAATACAGCTAAAGTCTGATAAGTACTTTAGAGAGGCGCTAATATGCTATTTTAATTTATTTTATTATGTCACCGGGACAGACAAGTTTACCCGACTTCACAAATTTCATAATTATTACTTGTTTATACACTTTTTAACCGGACTGGTAGGAGTGTAAAAATCCTATAAAATTCTCGTATACATCAGCTCCCTTTCAGTCAAAGTCCCGTTAAAATCTGTCCACACGTTCCCGAGAACACGGAACATACGCAAACTCAAGGACATACATACAGACAAAGAAAATTATTAAATTGTTTTTATCGTTATCAGCAACGCAGAAACAGACATTCCAATTTTATTAATATGTATAGAATTGTGGCAATAACATCCGCGCGTAATTAAAAAAAAACTTAACTAGTATATCCAGACTATGTTCTACATCTATGACAAATTTCATCAAGATCCATGCAGCCGTTCTGGAGATATCTTCTAACAGACATACATCTAAACATTCGCATTTATAATATAGTAAGATTCCGTAGAAATTCCATTGTGACCTGAACGGCAGGACCGAGAATGTCGACTAATTAAACATTCAGATGTCAGTCGTATTCTCGGCGTGTGACAGAGATAGCGCTATACAGAACCGCATCTATCTCGTTCTTAAGATTGACCAACATTTACCGCGTACGTTTTAAAAACAATACCCAACCTTGATTGAAACAGAAACTGTCAAACATATATCCATCCCTTTCGGTATGTATGAAAAAAAGAGAGATAACACTATATTTCTAAAGGTATTTTTTGCAACTAGAATGTACGAATCAAAAATATTTTCCTGTAAAGGAACATAGATAAAAAAAACAAAACGATTCCAATAAATTTTGGTGACGTTAAGAATAAATAATAAAATAAATTATTTTTTATACAGTCTATACAGCTATGTTATTATATTAGCTTATTTTGTAGCATTTTTACATCTTTTTACATACAGCACCAAGGTAAAACCCTTTTTCCACTAGCGCAATTAACGCCCGTAATTTTTTTTTATTTTTTTTAGGAAAAGGTGCAAACGGACAACGAATCGCCTAATATTTGATCCGGAGGAACCGTAGATGCGTTGCCGGCCTTTACATTTACTGTACCACAATATGTCACCTCTAACTTAGAGTTGACTCCGAGCTTTGGTTGGGACGTATAGTGAGCTGATGATGTTACTTATGTACCAGTGAAGTATTGCTATCGCGATTAGTACTTTCAGAAAACATATAAAACCTACATAGGCGTAGAAAATTACGTACAACGGTAAGAAGGATTTTGTCATGACAATGAGCTGTCATAATTAAGTTCGATGCAAACCGGATTAGATAACTTTGTCGGACTATAAGTTTGATTATAATCCAACATTCAAATTCCATAGATAGCCGTCATTCTGATATTTAATTAATTTTGCGATGATATAATGATATGATAATACAAAATAAGGATGACCAATGTTTTATACTTTTAATCTTACTTATATTATAAATGCGAATGTTTGGCTGTATATTAGAAAATATGTCCAGAACGGTCTAACGGATCTCGCTAAAATTCGTCATAGTTGTAGAACATAGTCTGGAAGAACACATAAAATAAATTGTTTAATTCCGCGTGGACGAAGTCGCGGGCGTCAACTAGTCAAGTACTACATCTTACTTCTTACTAATATTATAAATGCGAATGTTTTTTAGATGGATGTTTGTTTGAATGTATCTCTAGAACGGATGCATAGATCTCGCTAAAATTTGTCATAGATGTAGAATATAGTTTGGAAGAACACAATTCGCGCGAACAGAGTCACGAGCGACAGCTAATCTTATATATAAAATTCTCGTATCACAATTTTCGTTGCCATACTCCTCCGAAACGGCTTGATCGATTCTCATGAAATTTTGTGAAGAATCAGCCAACATCTATTTTTAATCCCGCGCAGACGGAGTTGCGGGCAACAGCTAATTTTTTATAAATTTCAACCACAAACATACTTTTCTATGGTGAAAACATTTCACGCTTGGATTGAATGCAGCTGTCGTCACGCGGTGCGTGTATCGCACGGTGGAAATGAGTCTTAACACTCATTTATACGCAAAGTATGAAGACAAAGGATAAACAGCAGCCGTATACTTGAACGTTCGTTGATAGAATGCAAAGAGTTTATATAAAATATATTTAAATAATTTATATTAACTATATTGTAACAAAGTTTAACTTAAAGAACCCGACTTTCTAATGAGATATGCATCTATTACTGTTGCTTTAAAAAGAATATTTAAAACTATATAAAATTAAAAATCACTTAATTAGGCCTATTCTAGTCCTCTTTCCCTTCCCATCCTTTTTCTTATAAGGAAAGGATGGGTAATGGAAGTGGACTTTCCGGTTGAGAGGATGCATGGGAAGGGAAAATATTTTCTTCCTATGCATCCTCTCCTCCGTCGATTAAAGGTAGGCAACGCATATGCAATTGCGTATGTCTATGGGCAACGGTCATTTCGCTTTTTAAGCGATTTCAGGTGGCCGCTCGCTCGTTTGCCACCTTATGATATAAAAAAAAATCGTCCAAATCGATTCACTCGTTTAAACTCTAAGCCGCCACATACATAAAAACATAAGAAACTGGCCAGTAAGAGTTAAAAAAGAAACTCACCCATACGCCGTCTTCAAATCCAAATTCGCCACTTTCACGCACAAATCTTTCCTATCTTCCTTCTTCAATTTCTCCATATGTTCCAAAAATATCTGCCTGCAAGTCTTCCTATTACTTGAACAGCAAATCTTCTTCGAAAACTCCGTAGTTATATCCTTCTGTAAATCTTTGTACTGCTTCATAGTCATCGATGATGTTGACATTCTATCTTTCTTTCTATCAAAATCATGACCAGTCACACATTTAGGGTATTCAATCACATCCTGTATATCTTGATATTTTTCATTATCACTATTGTATAAAGGTGATGAAATTGCCGGTGATAATGTATTATATGAATCTGACACAGGACTTGTCATTGATTCAGAACGAGGCGGAGTTGGGAATATAGATTTTTCACTTCTAGTATTATCTACATAATCACTTATAGATGCCAATTCTAGATCGTTAAACTCTTCGTAAGCTGCATGATTCGCTGTTGTGAATTCCTCAATCGGATTAGGTTCTGGTTCTTTCGTTTGATAGAAATCCATTACGTTGAATTCTTGTGTTATTTCATCTTCGGGGAAACCTTGTAGTATACTTGTCTTTTCAGTTTTTGCCAGAAATTCCATAGCAACTAGCCAATCTCTTTCTCTATCCTGTTCTGAGTTTTGTTGAAAATTCTGTACGTCTTTGTCTATTTGCTCTAATACAGTTGTGATGTCTGGTTGGTATTCTGTTAACGTACATTTCGTTATAACATGACCACCTGATAACGTTTGCTTATTGATTTGATTAATCTGGAAAATAAAATGAAAGTACTTTAATTAATTTGTGTTTAATTATTACTAGCTGTCGCCAACGACTGCGTACACGCATAGTTAAACAAAAAACTTATTTAGTAGCATAGGCTAAATATACAGGGTGTCCCAAAAGGTTACGTACATAGGAAGGGGGATAATAGGGGTGGTCACAAGGGTCACCAGAAAAATAAAATAAAAATTCCCCTCTGGGTATTAAAAAAAATAAATGGCATTTTTTAAAAACTTAAAAATTTTACACCTTCTGGGGCAATTTTGTAACCGATGACCTACAAATATTGCTATATATAAAAAAAGCTATTGTGTTATCGTCAATAACCCTTTATCAATATGAAATAAAAAAACAATACAACTAATAAAGATTTTAAAGAAAATTAAAATATTCGCATAGAGATTATATGTCAAGTGTCTAGATTTGTTCCGCCATCTTGAAAATAGCAGCGACTTTTCTCACGACTATCTTGAAAATAATTTTGCTTTTTCTTATTTTATTCATCAATTTCAGACTTACAATTTATTTATTTTCAAAGCGTCAATAGCCTAATAGGGTACGGATTTCCGATCACGAGGTTGGGCGTTCGAATCCCGTCATTCGACTATTGTCGTAAATCATATCCTAGCACAAACTTAAAGCTTAGTTGGAATGGTAAAATATTAGCAAATTTACAACAAAAAAAAACTGCTATTAAAACAAAATTAAACAAATATACAACAGGCTTAATATTTTTTTTTAATATTTAATTATTAAGTCTAAAATCTAGTTTATTAGCATATTAATGTAAAATAGGTGTAAATTTTCGTAACTTTTTTAGAGCAAATTATCAGTCTTCCGAGAAATGACCTTGCAAATAACAAGAGTATATTGCCAAGAATAAATTTCTTAGTACGGGCTTGGCAACAAAAGACGATATGCGTAAAAGTAGAATTAAGATATGACGTTTGATAGATAGGTAAAAGTATAATGCGCAGACGTAGTGTCTGCGCATTATAAAGATATGCGCTAAGCAATTAATTATACGCAATAAAAATAGCGGGAGCGTCGGTGGCTCAGGGGTCAAGCACTTGACTTGCAAACTGCAGGTCCTGGGTTCGAATCCCGCCATGTACCAATGTGTTTTTCGATTTCCGATTTACATATGTACATTTATCCGACGTTCTTACGGTGATGGAAAACATCGTGATGCAACCTGCACATATCTGAGAAGAAATTCAAAAGATATGTGTGAAGTCAACCAACCCGCACTAGGCCAGCGTGGTTTACTATGGCCTAATCACCCTTAACTTAGGGTAGGCTCCGAGCCCCTCGGTGGGGACGTATAGTGAGCTGATGATGATGATGAATAAAAAATATTTAAACATGCTAACGGCTAACATCAAAATTCTTTGTTTTGTATTAACACGAAAACTATCAAATTGCTGTCACCAGCGACTCCGTCCATTTAAAAAAAAAGCTTTATAAGTAGCCTATGTGTACATTTATCCTACATTCTCAAGGTAAAGGAAGACATTGTGATATTGCACATATCTTAGAAAGTCAAAGATATGTGTGAAGTCAATCCGCACTGGGCCAGCATTCACTATGGCCTTGTCACTGAATTAGGGTAGGCCCCGAGCCCCTTACTGGGGATGTTTAGTAACGTTACTTAGAGACTGATGACGACACTGTTAATCTAAGTTGACTGAACCTGGTCTTAACAGGATCAACAATCAAACTCAGCCTTTACCAGAGTGGTAGACACACCACGGACCTTTTGGTGCGTCCTGACACCTTTCTTGCGTCTACATTCATACATCTACGAATTCATGCACGTCAGTTTAGGGTGCTTTTAATACCGCCCTGCTTGATCATGATCAATTACTATTGCGTCCCGGAGGTCTAATTTAGTCCTCTTTCTCTTCCCACCCTTTTCCTTATAAGGAAAGAATGGGAAGTGGAAGTGGACTTTCCGGATAAGAGGATGCATGGAAAGGGACAATATTTTCTTTCTGTGCATCCTCTCCTCCGTCGATTGAAGGTAGGCAACGCATATGCAATTGCGTATGTCTATGGGCAACGGTCACTTCCCTATTTCAGCGATTTCAGATGACCGCTCGCTCGTTTGCCACCTTATTATATATAAAAAAAAACTATCTGTGCCCGCGACTTCTTCCGCGTGAAATTCTGACTTTTACTACTAATTTTACTATCACTTATAGTACATAACACAAAACATATTAAACTCGCAAAACATTCACATAAATCTTAAATCTTATATATAAAATTCTCGTGTCACAATTTTCGTTCCCATGCTCCTCGGAAACGGCTTGACCGATTCACATGAAATTTTGTGAGCATATTGAGTAGCTCTGAAAATCGGCCAACATCTATTTTTAATCGCCCTAAATGTTAAGGGTAGTGCACCGCTAATTTTTATTTTTTAGACAAACACACGGACGGAGTCGCGGGCGACAGCTAGTATTCCAATAAAAACTTTCATCCCCTAATGTTATTTTGCACCCTTGAGGGTAACATTTATACGAACATTGAATGTCGTATTTATTAATATCAAATTAACAGCTTAAAAAATAAGTTCTATCTGTTAAAATGACGATACTTTCATACAAATATCCAACCCCATTTCAACCCCATGCAACCCCTTTTTCACGTTAAAAAGTATCCTATGTCCTTCCCCAGGCTCTAAACTATCTATGTACTATATTTCATTTAAATCTGTTGAGTAGTTATAGCGTGAAAGAAGGACAGACAAAGTTACTTTCGCATTTATAATATTAGTAAGGCTTTAAATACTTGGAATCTCGCAATTTGAAATTGAGTACTTAATTGAAAAAGTAAAAATTTGTACCTGTCTGTATTTGCTGTCCAATGTTTCCTGTTTCTTGCTATATGGATGGATTGAATTTCTACTATCATAAACTTTACTTTTCGTCGGTGCTCTAACAATGTACACAGTCTGCAACTTCTTCTGTTTCTTCTCATCATCGTCTTTTGTTACTTTCAAATCTTTCAATGTTTCAATCAATTCTTCTTCTTTCTCATCATGTGCTTTCTCTGAATAACCGCTATCTTCTGACGAATGAGAATCTGCACGCACTGGAGTTCTTTCTTCTTCTTTTATAACTTTATAAGAGAAGTTTGCAAACTCATCTTCTTCTTTTATTTCTAGTTTCTGGAAATTATCCAATAATTCGGATACTGGTGTTACTTTTATTGGGTTATTTTCTTTTGCATCTTGCTTCTTTTCTTTTACCTCTTGTTTCTTTTCTTTCTTCTTTTCCTTTTGGAATAGAACCTGGAATGGTTTCTTAAGGATATTTATAATTGATTTCTTATCCGTATCAGCCATTGGTATGTTTTGTTTTTCGTGTTGTCCCTTTGCACTTCCCATAATTAGAAGGTGATTCAACATATGTAATTCTTTCACGTTACACGCTCCTTAATCTGGAACAAAGAGAGTAACAATTATAGTTTGCAGTCACCCAATCGCTTGGCACAAGATCGGCGAAAGTTCACTGAGCTGACGGTCAACCTCCATTAAATGGAGAGGCACCTTGAGAGAGAGAGAGAGAGAGAGAGAGCGTCAGACAATGTAATGTTAACAGTGGTAGCCAGCAACAACAATATGCAGTCTGTCCCTCGTCCGCTACAACACGACCTCACAGAACACACGCCTCAAGTCTACTCATTACAACTGCAGTCTGTACCTCGTCCGCTGCAACACGACCTCACAGAACACACGCCTCAAGTCTACTCATTACAACTGCAGTCTGTACCTCGTCTGCTGCAACACGACCTCACAGAACACACGCCTCAAATCTACTCATTACAACTGCAGTCTGTACCTCGTCCGCTACGCTCGATGAATGTGTGTGCATATTTGACTCCTCTTCCCCTTCCGCTCTTTTCTTACAAGGAAAGGATTTGATGGTGATTTATTAGCGTAGTAAAGTCATCGCTTGCTCGTTACCCAAACTATGATAAACAGAACTGTCCACTTTAAACGGCTATGCAGATTTCGTACGTGATAAAACATTTAAATAAAAAAATATATATATTCGTCAGCACTATGTGACAATTGCAACTGTTGAGTAATTTCATTGTAATTCAGATAATGCGATAATAAATCTTTACCCAGAATAAAATAACAATCTACGCTCGTAATCTACAGGCCAGCGTCAGTGGTCTTAGGTCCATGTACGATGCTACGGTGAAGGAAATCATCGTGATGCTGCACATATCTGAGGAAGTCAAAGATATGTGTGAAGTCTTGCACTGGACCATTTAGATAGCCTCACTTAGGGTTGACTATGAGACCCTCAATTGGCTATGAGCTAATGATGAATCCAGAGGGGTAGACAGAGACTACGGACTTTGGTCAGTTGACAACATTCATTCGACATTTCACTATTTTTCTTTAAATTGATGTTTTGTTATCATGACGTTTTCGTGCAAGTCGACACTGTCGTAGTAAACAAAGGTGGATTTTGTAGAATTATATGTTTATAGTCTTCATGATTTTATCATTCGTTTAAAAAGTGCAAGATAAAAAATATTGTCCATGACTTGCGAGAACTCGTAACATCAGACATGATAAACAGTGGCATGATATTACTCGTTATATTCAGTGTGTCATACTTATACATATCTGTGCCCGCGACTTTGTTAGCGTGGTTGTCGGAAACACTATCGATAATATTTTTTAAATGCATTTTCTTCTTCACTCCTATTGGTCGCAGCGTAATGTTATATAGCGTTAAGCCTCCCTCTATAAATGGACTATCCAACAGAAAAAGAATTTTTCAAATCGGACCAGTTGTTCCTGAGATTAGCGCGTTTAAACAAACAAACTCTTCCGCTTTATAATATTACATTAATATGCAGAAGAAACTGAGTGGGCGAAAGTGCACAGCTTTGTGGGACACTAGCGTTAATTGGTTTGGTGTCAGAGCTTGCGTCGACGACAACATGATGTTCCGACCCTCCAAAAAGCTGGAAATTATATGTGTTCTTCCAGACTATGTTCTATATTTATGATAAATTTCAGCGACATATAGCCGTTGTGGTGATACCTCCAAACAAACATCTAAACATTAGCTATCTATATAAAAAAGAAAGTGGTGTTAGTTACACTATTTATAACTCAAGAACGGCTTTACCGATATGCCTGAAAATTGGTGAGGAGGTAGCTTAGAGCCAGGAGACGGACATAGGATACTATTTATTCTTTTTTTTTAATTTATGCCTAAATAAATGCGAATGTTTAGATGGATGTGATGTGGATGGATGGGTGTTTGAAGATATATCTAGAACGGCAGAACGGATCTCGATTAAATTTGCCATACGTATCGAACAAAGTCTGAAAGAACACTAATTATTTTTTTTATATATCCCCGCGGACAGAGTCGCGGGCGTCAGCTAGTTTATAATATTAGTAAGATAACAACGGTAGTATAAAAGGATTATATTCATGTGAACCGAGTGCAGATTTTTATCGTAGTTACCCATTACTATTCCCCTTTGCAAAGTTTTTTATAAAACCATTAAGACGACGGCCATTTTGATTTATTAATAGTGGGGAATGACGTAACTAATTGATAAGCAGTGGCCATATTGCTATAATTTTTCCGGTTCAATTACGACCATAGAGTAAAAAAGTAAGAGAGTATTTGATAATATTATAATCTGCAAGGCCACGTCTGGAACGGAGGGATCGTTTTTACTGGAACGTGGGTGGGGTGATGCACGCGGGCATATATATATTTTTTTAAATCTGCTCTGACTAAGTCGAGGGCGATAATTAGTCTTACTAATATTATAAATGAGAACTTAAATGGATGGATGTTTGTTTGAAGGTATCTTTAGAACGGCTCAATGGATTTTGATGAAATTTATCATAGATGTAGAACATAGTCTGGAAGAACACATAGACTACTTATTAAGTTTTTTTTAATTCTGCGCAGACGACCACGACTATTATACTAATATTATAAATGCGATAGCTTGGATATATGTTTGTATGAAGGTATCTCCAGAATGGGTCAAAGGATCTTTATGAAATTTGTCACACATGTAGAACATAGCCTAGAACACATAGCTTACTAATTAATGACGTACGTACGGCGGTCATACGGCTACTTTAGAATAAAACTCGGATCAAATGGGACTACTGTTTTTCTACACTGTGTCCCATTAAAATTGATTGATCTTACGTTATGTGATGGTAATATCAAAGTGATTTGTGTTAGTTAATTATAGTGTGTCTATTTAAGATAGAGTACCTGGATGACCGAGCTTTGCTCGGTATTTTTTTTTAATTGTGTTTTTAGGAAATTATATTTAAGTACGAATTACTTATAAAATGATGAAATATGAATAATATTTTTCGATCTTACCGATAGAAAAAGTTAAGTTTATGTTCAAGTTGATTATCGATAAAACACGAATAAAATTACATTATCTAAAAATGATTCCTAACTAGATCGATTTATCGCCCCCGAAACCACCTATATACTACATTTTATGAAAATCGTTGGAGCCGATTCCGAGATTCCAATTATATATATATATATATATATACTAGCGGACCCGACAGACGTCCTGTCTACACGTCGTTAATTTGAATATTATTTAAAATTTGACACTGCGATGGTAGCGCCGTCTGTCGGATACAATGTAAAACATTCCAAAATCAACAACTACTAATAAATTAAAAATTAATTAAAAAAAACATTGTCCAGCGGACAAAATTGTGAATCTAAACCATTCCCAGATCCCCTTGAACACACACAAAAAATTTCATCAAAATCGGTCCAGTCGTTTGAGAGAAGTTCAGTGACATACACACTCACAGAAGAATTATATATATAAAGATATATACAAGAATTGCTCATTTAAATATATAAGATAAGATAGATAAGAATATTACATGATGGTCTTCGAAAAATGGTGATAATTTGTCGTATTCTTCCTCCGAGTGTCAGTCAGTCAGTCAGTTTTATAGACCGTACGTCATAAGCATTAGGAAGTAGACTTAAATCTTTTTAGATTTATACGAATTTACAATACAAGTAAGGAAAAATTAACTTTTCCTTGTCTTATAACTGAGCTATTATTTATCATAATAAATTATTTTACCCATATCATTGGACATAACAAGAATATAAAACACGAAAGACGGACAAGTGGAAGCAATTCCGGGTACAGTCTGATGAGTGTCGCCAAAAGCCTATTCTCTTCCCACCATTTTAAAGGAAATGATGAGGATTTATCGGTGAAGGGGACGCATAGGTAAAGCATTTCTGTGTGTCTCCTCCTGCGTCAATTAAAGGTAGGCAACGCATATGCAATTGCGTATGTCTATGGGCAACGGCCACTTCGGTATTTCAGCGATTTCAGGTGGCCGCTCGATCGTTTGCCACCTTATGATATAAAAACATAGTCTGGAAGGACACATAGACTACTTATTAAGTCTTTTTAACGTTTACAGGGTATCTCAAAAGGTTACGTACGCAATTTTGTAACCAATGACCTGCAAATATTGCTACATTAAAAAAAAAGCTATTATGTTATCGTCAATAACCCTTTATCAATATGAAATAAAAAACAATACAACTAACAAAGATTTAAAGAAAATTAAAATCGCCCCAGAAGGTGTAAAATTTTTAAGTTTTAAAAAAATGCCTATATTTTTATTTTATTTTTCTAGTGACCCTTGTGACCACCCCTATCATCCCCCTTCCTATGTACGTAACCTTTTGGGACATCCTGTATATGTCACTGTATGTTATAAACAATTTGCAACTCATGTTTTGCTATCACATTAGTCATGGACGCATACGTTTCGCAACAACACGCAAACCGCATTACAAAACATACTTTTATATAGTTAGGTAATTTAAAAAAAAGCATTTTATTTCTTTAAAGTAGTAGTAGGAAACTACTATAATGTGTATTTAAGATATACAAAAGAAAGTGGTGTTAGTTACACTATTTATAACTCAAGAACGGCTTTACTGATATGCCTGAAAATTGGTGAGGAGGTAGCTTAGAGCCAGGAGACGGACATAGGATACTATTTATTCATTTTTTTTCGAATTTATTGAAGAGCTGTTTTTTATTTAATTTATCTATATTAAGTTGTTTCATATATCCACGCGGACGGAGTCGCGGGCGACAGCTAGTTTAAGATAGATTAGTTTGACAATTAACTAGATATGGGTTGAGTAAAATATATTAGGAATTATTTAAATTTCGATGTTTGTTCTCATAGAACTTGCAATCGAAAATTTCGTAAACATACTTTATCCTTCATAACTACATAAAGAAATAAGACTTTAAACCAAAAATTGCGGTGTTAAAAACAAAAAAAGTTTTTCTTTAATTAATTGTACGATACATAGCAAAATAACTAATAAATTAAAAAAGTTATAACTAAATTATAGTATCCATTTGTTGGATTAATTTTATTACCAAGATCGATAGTTCACAGTTACTCGTTGTGCGCGACGACACTATGACAATAGTCGAAGTCGCGGACGGCAGCTAGTAATATAAATGCGAATGTTCGTATGTATGTTTTTTAGAAGCTATCTCCAGAACGGCTTCATATGTCTTGCTGAAAGGTATAGATGTAGAAAATAGTCATGTAGAATACAAAGACTACTAATTAAGTTTCTTTTTTTAATTCCGCTCGAACGAAATCGCGGACGGCAGCTAGTTAAATATAAAAACTCAAATAATGTAGGTAAAATAAGAAAATATTCTCGGATATTTACCCCAACAAAACACTAGTGCCATCTCTTTCATTCTCTTTTTATAAGATAAAGACAACAACATGTTTTTATAAAAACGGTAACTCATTTCAAACTTTACATCGTAGGTACTTTTTAAACGGAATTTTGAAATAGTCAAAAAGTCACGTACTAAGTTTCAGTGTAAATTTCGGTGGCTTGATAACTAATCGTTAATAATTTATTTCCTTATAATGGCCGACAATAAAAAAAACATACTAGCCGCTGACGACACCGTTTGCCTGTTCTTGCAGACTATGTTCTATATAAAAAGCGAGATCTATGCATCCGTTCAGGAGATACCTTCCAACAAATATACATTTAAACAATCGGATTTATATTAGTAGTATATGCGAGTAAATTTTGTGAAAATAAAGTGAAGTGTAGCTAATGTACTATAGTTATATAAGAAATTGTGTTCTAATAGAAATTAACGAATTTTATCGTGTTTAAATTGGATTCCAGTGAAAATACATTAATATTAAGTATGTGTCGTATTAGACTTTGTGACGTCACGATGCATGCGGAACATGGTAAGTCTTTTTATTTTATACGACCTAATTTTCAATTAACTTAGGATAGGTTCCGTAACCCTCAGTGGGGACTTATAGTCAGCTGCTGATAATGAATTTATTCTTACTTAGGTGATTATGGTCTTCGCGATGCGATCAATCTCAATATGGTTATTGGCAAAGAAAAATTTTTGCTTTCGATTAATGTACGTCGTAAAACAAAATGGCGGGCCGGCCGGTGTCTCAAGTCAAGCGAACTCCGTGAACCTCGCCGCGCCGCTTGTTCACGCGAACGTCCGATTGACAGCGCGCGAAAATTATCTCGTGTTTTAATTCAGATTATGGTTTAAATCTGTGCAAAATTTCTGGAGATACTTTACTAAAATTACCTTAATAATATTAGTAAAAGTAATAAGATAATTTAGTGAAAACATATCTTAAGTTATAAACGCTCATAACGTCACTTTACTAAAAATGGTATATCAACTACCAAGTTGTTCTTATTTTTTTATCTGGCTTACAGATCTGGCTATACAAGATTCATTCCACTAAGTTGTAGGTACTATTCATTTATTTTATACATGTGGATTTTTTATTAACTTTTTTAAACAAAACAAGTTTAAAAAGGGTTATGCAACAAAACCCACCCTTTTCCTTTGCCTGATTGGTAGGTCTTTTCTGTCATTTATTTATTTACTAGCTGAAGCCCGCGACTCAATCTGCATGGTATTATAAAACAAAATTACTAGCATATGTGTTCTTACAGACTATGTTCTACATTTATGCCAAATTTCATCAAGATCCATTCAGCCGTTCTCGAGATACCATCAAACAAAAATCTAACTAAACATTGGCATTTATAATATTAATACAAAGATAACTATATACCTTCCTTAAAGAATAGATCCAATTTGACATAAATAGTTTACAATATAATATTGTATATAAGGATAACTAAAACATAACAATAACTAATAATAAATTACATAGAAAATAAAGACCAAGCATTCCACACATTTGTAAACTTAACTGCAACTAAATAAATCTTTGTCTTATGTTTTGAGTAGCCAGGCCTTGAGTGTTGGTGGCTCAGTGGTTAAACACCTGACTTGTAAACCAGGGTTCAAATCCCAACATGTACAAATGCGCTTTTCAATTTACATATGTACATTTATCTGTCAATCTTATGACAAAGGAAAACATGGTGATGAACATATCTGTGAAAGTCAAAGATATGTGTGAAGTCAACCCGCACTGGGACTGTATTCACTGACTTAGAGTAGACTCCGAGACCTTCAGTAGGGACATGTGAGCTGATGATGATACATAGCTTGCTATAGGAGCATTTTCCAATACATTCATCGAGTCATATGAGTAGTATCCTTCCTGATGATTGTATATTATTAAAAATAGATTTCTTAGTTATATTGTTTGTATTCTAGATAACTACTAAACTATTTATCAGAATTATATACTTTAAAATGCAATTTTAATGTACATTTAACTCTCATGATAAGGAAGACATTTTTTGATAAGGATTAATAACACATATAAATCAAACATAACCCACAGGAACCATCAACATTTCTGTATCATATGTAGGCTATGTGTTCTTCCCGACTTTGTTCTACATTTATACATAATCTCATCTAGGTTTATATTGCCATTCTAGAGATATCTTCTAACATACATCTAAACATTCACATATATAATATTAGTAAGATAGCTGTTGGCCTTGACTCCGTTTGTGCTTTATTAAAAAAAACATAATTAGTGGTGTATTTCAGACTATGCTCTACATCTATGATAAATTTCACTGAGTTCCGTTAAGCTGTTTTGGAGATACCCCTCAAACAAACATCTATCCATCTAGACATTTGCATTTATAATATTAGTAAGCAATTATTACTATTTGCAATTTATCTCTGATAAGTTATAAAAAAGACAATGTGGACTTGTGGCTAGCATGATTTGACTGCTCTTCATTAGTAAAGACAAAAAGGTGTTATTATTATTATAGTACTAGACAGGAAGGCTCTCTCTCTCAAGGTGCCTCTCCATTTAATGGAGGTTGGCCGTCAGCTCAGTGAACTATCACCAATCTTGTGCTTCGACAGGAAGACTGACATCTCACTGATATTATAAACGCGAATGTTTAGATGAATGGTTATTTGAAATTATCTTGGGAACAGCTCAACAAATCTTGACGTAATTTAGCACAGATGTAGAATAGTCTGAAAAACACATAAGCTATTTATTAAGTTATTTAATTACATGCAGACAGAGTCGCAAGCGACAACTAGTATGAAAAATAAAGGATTGTTAACTTATGTCTTTATCTATATTGATATAGATAATAAATAATACTTCACAAGATAAGAATTTTATATTACAAAGTGGCAAATGAGCAATCAGCCACCTTAATACGCAAAAATAGCCAAATGACCGCTGCATAGATATCTGCATTTGCAGATGCATTTCCGACCATTTATAAACATATGAGAGGACATACAGTAATAAGATATTGTCTATGCATCCCAATGGCAAAACAAACTCATGACTAAAGTTGCCTAGCCCATATTAAAAGACCGATAAAATTCCAATGATTTTACTTCATGACTATTTAATAGTAAAATGTTGGTAAAAGTTTATAATAAGACATTTAATCTATTCAAAGATATTACAACACTTAAAACAATTTAAAACACAATAATTGCAATGCTGAACAGATTGCGACTTTACTTAGCTGTATGTTTATTGCCCTTGGAGGCAAAAACACTGATATTCTACAAAAGCTTTCACATCCTCAGAAGGTCAGTTGCAGCAATTGATAACATAAATGAAGTATTATCACCAAATATTCCATTCATAATTTGAAAAGCAGGCGGAAAATTGAATTCTTTCCTGAGCCTACAGTCTTTGTATAGACTTGAGACTGGGAGTGTGTGTGTGGAAGCCTAGGCTTCAGTCAACACACTTCCAAGGCCATATGTAAGACTAGGCCTGAGATAACACGCGCCCATTGCCTAAGACTAGATCTGTGAACACATCCACTGCCCTAGCGCTCAAAAATCTTGACGTTTCTATATTTTTTGTTACTGTACAGATGTTATTTCTTCACATGGCCTAAGTATCTATGTGCATATAACTTCAACTGTTTTATCAATGGATTTGTTTTCAATAATTTTAATAATAAATCGTGATAAAACGATAATTTGAGTAACAGATATCAAAGATATTTGGGTAAAACTTTACAATCGAGTATATTATCGTATTTAATAAATATTTAGGGCACCTACCTCATTTGGTATTTTAAATACTTTGCTGCTCACTTATACAAGTTTTGTTTATCACTAATCCATTGTCACTCAATACACTGTAATCCAGTCTATATGCTTCAATATGATCACACAAAAACAAAACGTCTATTTCTGAGTATTTTGTTTTGTTGGCGAAATAGTAAAAACGCGAAATCGCATACCACAACGTGTATGACGTCTTTCCACAAGAATGATACAGATATCAGTAACAAAATTTTGCAAAACAAGTCAAGTGCAGATTATAGCAGGTGTGTCAAAGATTAAGTAAGCTATATATAAGTATTATGTCAAATAATTCCTCTTAATAATCCCGTGTACGACTATGAAATGTAACTAAAATCGTACTTATTTAAACCAATTATAAAACGTATTGTTTAATATCTACTTCTTAAGACATCAGAATATGTTTTCGCTATATTAACAGGAAGGTCATGTTCATGTCCACTTTTTGCAACTCTAATAGATAAATAGGCTTGAACAAGTAAATTTTTTACCTGGTTGACTTACAAAAGCATGGAATGTTTAGATGGATGCATGTTTGTTAGAAGATGTCTGCAGAACAGCTTAATGGATCTCTAAGATATTTGTCATTGGTAATGAACATATTGGGGAAGAATATATGGGCCACTAGCTACTAATTAAGTATGTTTTTTTTAATTCTGCGCGGACAGAATTCCAGGCGACAGTGATATTAAATAATAAGGAATTGCGTTATCAATTAATCTATTCTAAATATTTATTCAAAAAGGAGAAGAAATAACATATACTTTTGAAGGTGAATCGCTAAGTTTAAAGGGCAGTCAAATTTTTAATCGATTTCTAGCACATATTAAAATTAGTAGTTTTATAAAAATTAAGTAAAATACTAACATCAAATCATGTACGCATATTTTTATTAAATATAAAATTCAGTTAAGTTAAATAATAAATAAAGTTGTTTTTAATCTGTAAGTTTGTACCTCATTTTATAAACTTACTCTTTGGCTATCAAGTTTGTTTTTGCTGATGACGCAATAGTTTATTTTAGACTCAAAGCGAAGTCTCTAAACATGTTTTATCGTCGTATCTACTTAGTATGTTATGCAAGCATTTGCACTCTAATACATTTGCAAATTGTAATTCCCCATTATACGTTTTTTTAACATATTAAAACATAATTGTTATCACTTCATTTAGCCAATGATATTACAGCCAAATATAGATTTTTAAGACATTTACGTTAATAGTGTAATGCGAAAAATTATACAGATGGATGTTTGTTAGATGGTTTCTGCAGAACAGCTTAACGGATCTCGAAGAAATTAGACATACAGGACATAGTCTGGAAGAACAAATAGGCTAATAATTGTGTTTTTTTTTATTACGCGCGGACGTAGTCGCCTGCGTAAGCTAGCTATACCTAGTTATACATATGCCTCATGTTAAGAGGAAGTTAAAACGATAATTTCGATATTATCATGGTCCTTGCAAGTAATACCTACAAGATGTAGTGCGGAAAACGACCGGGGAAAAGATGGCTGCAAATTTTAAGGATATAGTCCGACAATGCACTTATTGCCCTCTTTTAACATTGATCCAAGTCAAACAAATTACCATTTAAATTGATAATGTATACAAATTGATACAGCTATAAGATTAAAAAAAACACAAGATAAAAGACAAAGGAAAAACTCCATACATCTTGTAATAGAGATAAAATTTTTTAGACTGTAAATTAAAAAAAAATCAGTGCCATTTCCTGAAATAATTTTTAATCGATAATGCGTAGAATAATCGATTTCTAGGCATGAGTTTTTGTATAACGTGTATGCCGTATAAAAAAACGAAAAAAAAAATCGTAGAAGATGATAATGACAAAGGTAAGGTTTGTTATCTTAAAAACGTTAATTTTTATGAGATTATTTTTATCAACTATAAGAGAAGGAAAAATTTACTATTCCCGTTGAGCATTCTGTTACAATCGCGCGCTGATCATGGTTAAAATCAAACCTAACTTAAAATTAGCAAGGTTATTTTTATACGTGTAGAGAATCTTATAATAATGATCAAATGAATAGTGCCATCTCGTGACAAAACTTACGCGATTCGTTTACTAAGACATTACAAATTTTAACAGTGGTAGAGCCCGCTTTGACTTCTACGCACGAATTGGCCCGGCTCGCTCAGTGAAATACCACGACTACACAGAACACAGGCGTGAAGTGGAAGCAATTCCGCGTACAGTCTGATGAGTGTGCGTCCTGGAGGCCTCATTTAGTCCTCTTTCCCTTCCCACCCTTTATCTTATAAAGAAAGAATAGGAAGTGGAAGTGTATTTTCCGGATGAGAGGATGCAAAGAAAGGTAAAATATTTTCTTTCTGTGCATCCTCTCCTCCGACGATTAAAGGTAGGCAACGTATATGCAATTGCGTATGTCTATGGACAACGGTCACTTCGCTATTTCAGCGATTTCAGGTGGCCGCTCGCTCGTTGGCCACCTTATGATATAAAAAAAAGATTCCAAAAATATGCCTAAATTTTACTTATTTTTAAACTCTTTATATTTATATTATGAATGGGAAAGATTTGATTTTTTGTATGGATTGAACAATTCGGATACTATTAGTTTGATTTGAAATGTTTTAGTATTAGAAAACTACAATGTCACCGACTAATCACTAGTCACATAAGTAATTACAAATACGTCTTGGTGTTTGTGTTCTAGGGCTAGTAAAATAGTGTTTTGGCACGATCTTTTTTTTTCTTTTCTTAGCCATGAGACGCCCACTGCTGGGTATAGGCCTCCCCAAAGATCGCCACGATGACCGGTCTTGTGGTACCCGCATCCAGGACGGTCCCGCAACCTTCACCAGGTCAAATCAGGCACAATCTCACTTAGGTGAAACTAGGGCCTTAGTTTGTGCTGACCACAGTGGGCTAACATTAGGGCGTGTGAGGTCTTCAAGCTTTTTTGTTTATAAACCAAAATGATATATCTAAAGAGATAAAAGTACAATGAAACAAAAAATAATCTAAATCAATATTTATTTTTTTTGCGACCTATAGGGTCATTTTTCAATTGCAACAAAAAACAAATTCTCCCACACAAGTTTCGTAAGCATTTTGGTCGTAATTTATAACCGATTTAACTTAAAATCATATATTTTTATGCTTGTATCAAACGTCTAAGATATTTAGGCATTTTGAAAATCGAATCGAAACAAATGCATACTTTGCCACGACCGGGGGGGAATGGTCCAACTTGTCCTGGTGTACCATCTTCATCGCAAGGTACTACTCCACCGCTGCCTGGTTGAGTTGGTCCACCGCTTCCTGGTTGGGTTGTTCCACCGCTGCCTGGTTGGGTTGGTCCACCGCTGCCTGGTTGAGTTGGTCCACCGCTTCCTGGTTGGGTTGGTCCACCACTTCCTGGTTGAGTTGGTCCACCGCTACCTGGTTGAGTTGGTCCACCACTTCCTGGTTGAGTTGGTCCACCGCTTCCTGGTTGGGTTGGTCCAC